TCTATCACTTCTTTTACTTTTTTTAACATTAAGAAATGATTTTGAACTAGTTTGCAGTCCCACCAGCAGTGTAGAGTGTTCCTCTCTCTCCGCAACCACGCCAGCATTTATTGTTTGGAGATTTTTGATAAAGCCATTCTCTACAAAAAAGACACCTGCACTCGAATGTTTATAGCAGCCAATTCATAATTGCCAAGGCTGTGGAAACAGGCCAAGTGCCATCAATCCAAGAATGATTAATAAAATGTGGTATAAACAATGGTGATATAGCACAATCTTATATTTTCCTGGTTAGAGCTGGAACCCATACTACTAAGTGAAGTATCCCAAGAATGGAAAACAAGCACCAGATATATTCTCCAGAAAACTGGTATTAACTGACTAGCACCTAAGTGGGACACATAGGTACTACAGTAATAGGGTATTGGGCAGGGTGGGAGAGAGGGGAGAGGGTGGGTGTATACATACATAATGAGTGAGATGTGCACCATCTGGGGGATGGTCATGATGGAGACTCAGACTTTTGGGGGGAGGGGGAAATGGGCATTTATTGAAACCTTAAAATCTGCTCCCATAATATGCCAAAATAAAAAAAATAAATAAATAAATAAATAAATAATAAAAAAAGAAATGATTTTAATCTCTAGCAACAGTTTTAATCACTACCCAACGCTGTTTTCATTAAGCATGTGTGGCCCAGTTATTTAGTATTTAATTACAGTGTTTAAGTATGTGTGTTTATTTGTAATATGATGTAGCTATTAAAAAGAACGCATGAAATCTGTATCTACTGACCTAGAGGGACAGCCATTACTGAAAAAAGGAAGTTATAGGTGATAATGTAATCCCATTTCTGTGAAAGCAATTTTTTTTTTTTTTTTTTAAGTAGAGACAGGGTCTCACTCTTGCCCAGGCTGGTCTCCAACTCCTGTCCTCAAGCAATCCATACTCGGCCTCCCAGAGTGCTAGGATTACAGGCGTGAGCCACCGCACCTGGCCTGTGAAAGCAATTACAACAAGCCTTCCTATCTCTTGCTTTCTGTTTTTAAAAGCCATGGATGGGAGATGGATGGGAGAGAAAATTCACAGGAAGAACTAAACTTCTTCACTACCTTTTCTGTCAATGTTTTGAGGGCTAAGTATGGTTACATTTTTGAAAAATCCAGGTGTGTGTTGGAAGTTGAGGGAGGTTCCCAGAATGATTTAGAGTCTATACTCTGTGCTCATGAGTTCTCTTGCTCACTTCAGAATGTACCTCAAGTCAACTATTTGTTTTTTTCTATATTAAAGTTGATCAATGTAGTGCTGTCTAAGAAGCTGACAACCTTGATGCGAACCACAGCTGATGCCTCAACCCTATTCAGGGTTGGAGAGGTGAGAAATTAAATAGACTTACTAACACCTTCCATTCAAGGGCTTCAAGATCACATCCATGTTGCCACCATCATACAGGTCATTCTTATCTAAAGTCTTCCCTGCTTAAACTCAACCTGCCCAAGGTTTCTTTTCAAAGTAGAGAATACCATATAACAATATAAATTTCAAATGCGCTTTACATTTTTTTTTTTTTTTTTTGAGACAAGAGTCTCACTCTGTGCCAGGCTAGAGTGCCATCATGGAGTCAGCCTAGCTCACAGCAACCTCAAACTCCTGGGCTCACAAGCAATCCTTCTGGCCTCAGACTCCCGAGTAGCTGGGACTACAGGCATTGTGCCACCATGCCACGGCTAAAAAAAAAAGCTAATTTTTTCTATATATTTTTAGTTGGCCAATTAATTTCTTTCTATTTTTAGTAGAGATGGGGTCTTGCTCAGGCTGATCTCGAACTCCTGACCTTGAGCGATCCTCCTGCCTCGGCCTCCAAGAGTGCTAGGATTACAGGCGTGAACTACCACACCCAGCCTGCACTTTACATTTTAAGTTAAAGACATAAAAACTCGAAAAGTATACATAAATATTTATCAGAACTCAGGATGAGGATGGGCTTTCTTAGGTGGAAAGCAGAGGAAGGAAATCTAAAAGAAGGGGAAGATGTTTAAATTTAACTAGACAAAAATGAAAACTGATTCGCAATCACAATCAGCAAAGTAAAAAGACAAACTGGGAAAACTATGATGTAGGATCAATATTCTTAAACATATAAATCCCAACACTGAAAAATGGACAAAGGACATGAGCAGATATTCCAGAGAAAAATTTAAAATGGTTATTTGGCCTGAAAAAAAGTTGAACTTCATTAATAACCAAAGATATGCACATTAAAAAAGCAGTGCAACATCATTTTTAATTTTCCATGATGGTAAAGATAAAAAACATTAATAATACCTAGTATTGGCCATGTTTCCAAGGGAAACATGCAACTTCAATTGTTGCGGTAGGAATAGAACTCATATTAAGATCCTCAACCATGGCCAGGCGTGGCAGCTCACACCTGTAATCCTAGCACTCTGGGAGGCCAAGGCAGGAGGATTGCAAAACATTTTTATAACAATTAAAAAAAAATAAGAAAAAGATCCTCAACCAATATCTTACACTTGGTTGGCCAGAACATAAATTAGCATACTTGCAAATAGTTTGGCAATTTGGCAATTTGCATCAAAAGTCTTAGCTATACATACATATTCCTTGACATTTCTAGGACTTTGTCAAAGGGAGCATTCCTGAATGTGCACACACAGATCTCCCAAGTATATTCATCTGAGCAGAGGCAGGCAGAAACATCGTCAGCCTTGGGGACAGCAGCATGGGGGCAGGGAAAAATCAACCGCATATGACAGAAATCACAGTCAGTAGCACATGAAAATGGAAGATTCAAGAAGCATTTGTTATCTGAAATATGAATCCAACTTGGAATTGACATGCATCCAAACAGGACTAAACTAAACAAACTATGTAAAGCCAAGGGAGGAAGAAAACAATAAAATAAAGCTTTAGCAATATGGTAAATTGGTCATTTGGAGGTTGGCTTTTATCAACATCATATGTTTAACTGAGTTCTAGTAAATTGGCTGCTGCCACCAAGGCTTCCTTAAGTGACCATGTCTAAGCAGCTGAGTTGCTAATTTTAAATGCAACCATCGATAAAGATTCATCTCTCTAAAGTAAGTTTGAAATTTTCACAATATTCAGATTGAGTTTGCAACTAACTGAAGGGATACTTCTTGGTGTTCCCCTGGCATGCTTAACATAAACACACACACATATGGGACTAGTGGACTAGTTAATTCACACAGAGAACTGTAACTACTAAGAAAGGTATATATTCATGTTGAAGAATGAATGATTCTTTCCTTGACAGAAAACCTCTGACATGCACTATATGGTGGACTACCCTACATCATTAAGAATAAAGAAGCCGGGTGCAGTGGCACGTGCCTGTAGTCTCAGCTACTTGGGAGGCTGAAGCGGGAGGACTGCTTGAGCCCAGGAGTTCTAGTCTAGCCTGGGCAACATAGTGAGACCACCATCTCTTTAAAAAAAGAATAGGAGAATTTCACAAGAAAGTAAAAATGCAAAGTGGAAAGTGAAGCAAGAGTAGCATAGATCAGAAACCCCTTCAAGGAAGCCTAATGTGGGTCATGTGGCAATGAAATCAGGCAAAAGGGTAGTGGCTCCAGGATAGAACTGAGTGAGTGCCCCAGTAGCAGAGAGATGAAATTATCAGTTTTGATCTATTTTAATATACTTTGTTTACTTTTTTTTCAGTTACAAAACTAATGTAGGAAATTAGAAAGATGAAAATGGATATCCCGTTGTGCCATCACCTAAAAACCACCATGGTGAGTAGTCTGAGGCATTTGTTTCTTTTCAGTTTTGCTGAAAAGTACAGACTTTTTTATAACATACTTGAGAACATAATGCATATTCAATTTTATGTCCCTTTTTTACATTGAATATTTTAACACAGGACATTTTCCACATCAAGCACTCCTCACAAAGACACTTTTAAATTGCTGTTAAACATGCCATTGTAAGGATATGCCAGGCATTATCTAATCATATTAGATCATTATTGACCCCATATTATTGATCATTTTGACAGTTCACCATCTTTTTCTCTTAAAAATAAAACTGCAGTGGCATCATTTTATATAAAGATTCCTGTTTTAGATTCCTAGAAATTCAACTACTGAGCTCAAAGTATGAACTTTTAGTGAGAATTTTCTCACCAGAATTTGAAGATTATGTTGCTTGCTGTAACAATTTGATTCTATTTTGATTATTTTTCTTTAACTTGTATTTAGGGAAGCCAGTTTTGAGTCTCTAGGATAGGAATCTGCCCATCAATACATCGGTCATAGGCTGGAATTGGTAGCAATTTGGGGTTTTCTAATCCAGCTATTACAGATGGGGGCACAGAGGCTTAGAAAGTTTGAATGACCACCCAGAGTCACCCAGGATTGAGTGGTGGATGCTGTAGTTGAACTGAGTCTCCTGACTCCCAGGTGAGGTCAATCCTTATCATCTATTGACAGGGCATGAAAGCACAGATAACTCCCTAGAGTGACATTGTGAGAGAAAAGAGTGTCCCAGCTGGAGGGAACAGTGAGAGAAGCAACATGGAGATAAGAGAATATGGAGTATGGGCAATGGATTGACTGATATGGCTGGGCCCAAGGCATTAAGCGATGCTACAGTGAGAAATGAGTCTAGAAAGGCATAGAATAAGTCTTCCTGTCCCTAGCCCTGAATTTTATTAATTATATACTATTTGCTAGTATTTATGTAGCTTTTTAGAGTTTGGAGAGTGACTTGACACACATTACCTTATTTGACCCTCACTTCAGTCCTTTACAGATAGAAAACAGAGAGAATGTCCTAAGAGGCTTGTCCAGGATCACACATCAAGTATGCAGCAAGGTTGGCACTTGGAATTCAAGTCTGCCAAATCCTGTTACCAAGTATACTGTTTCTCAATCCAGATCCAAGATCAACGGCAAAATTAGTAAGCAATTTGCACACAGACTAGTATCAGTATTTTTGTAGCATCATTTACAGACCTGTACTTGCGCTCTTTTCACTGTGTCAATCTTGAAATAGAAAGTTTCATTATTCTCTGCATTAAGCTTTGCAACAGAATGAGTCAGTGCCTCCTCCAGCTCTGGGCTGTCGACAGGTATATCTGCAGGGCAGCCAAAACAACCCTCGATAGGTGGTTGTACAAAATCTTCCCCTAAAAGAAGCAGATTTTAAGTTAGCATGTACGCTGAAGGAACAGCCTTGCGTAGCACGTCTCCTGCTCAAGACCCAGCACTCACGTTTATAGAGGGGCACGCAGTAGCCCAGGCCTACTAGCGAGTGAGTGAAGGTTATCTCTCTGACCCTCACTTCCTGCCTTTCTTCTTTATTCCTCCTCAAAGCCCAGTATATTTAGGGAAACGTATTCAAAGATGTTAGTGACTCAATATGCTACACCTTTCCTGCATTTTTGCATTTTTGATGGAAACTTTAAAAAGCAATGCTTAATTTAAAGGAATGACTCTCATATGGGAAAATTTTAAGTCCCATGGCTCTGGTGAACAGGTAACTTCAGTAATGCTTCTCATTGTGGAATGTATACAGCAGTTTTCCAAGTATGAGAAAAGTCAACTCTTGTTATAAGAAATAGTATAATAACTTGACCATAAACTCACACTATCTTCATTCCTCCCCCATTAAACCATACAGAAAAAAACTTTATTTCAAAGAATTTTATTCTGAGTGGTTAAAAATGAAGTACAGGTCTCTCCAACTTTACACACTCAACTTACGGACAACTTGTACATAAGGAAGGCCAGCTGGCATTGTACTCAAAGGGCAGCTTTGCCCAGGGAACATACATTTTCCCTTCTGTCATCATAACTACTTCTGGCCACTTGCAGAGCAGCATCAGCTGCACCTGCTGCAGCACAGCTGGGCAGGGAAGGGGTACAATGTTGTCATCAAGGTCAGTAGGCTACACAGACTTTCTGGTATTTCATGGGAACGAAAGCATAATTTAATATGAAAAGATCCAGCCAATTGTCTGGAACCACTATTTCACTACTGGGTGCCAACGTGTGTTATCCCTCACCTGGATAAATGTCACACTCCTGTGAGTAGTTAGCAATTCTTTGCTGAATATCCATGTATGCATTATCTGTACATTCACCGATATCCTGGTTTTTAAAAAGCATATAAGTGCATAGATTAAAAATATTTTTTAGAATCTTTGAACAACTAGTAAAATTGAAAAATAAGATGTCTACTTTCCAAAACATGGCATGCAATAAAAATGAAACAAAACTTAGTCTTGCTGCAAAAGAGAAAATAAGATACAGTTAGGCAATAGTATCAAAACAGCAATAAACACATACACATACATGAACACAGAAAACACGAAATAAGATGACAAGAAGTATAGTATTTCTAGTATAGAAATAAGAACCATATAGGTGTAAATGAGTAAAATTTTCTTTTAAAAAGGCAAGAACTTTCAGGTTAAGTTAAAATAAAATCAGGTTATTATAATTTCAAGAATCATAATAAAAAATAAAACTTAAAAATAAGGGATAAGCAAAGCTATATGAGATAAATATAAACAAAAAAGGAACTGTGTATTAGTAATATTGGACAAATTAAAATTCAAAGTAACAAAATAACTCATAAAAATACTAAAAAAGATAATTTTATTTTTTAAAGGTGTAGACTAGAAGGCATGGAATAAAAATACATACAGCAGAAAACATTGCATATATGAATAGAAATGGATGGAAATATCCATAGTGGGAAAATTACTATATGAACCAGCAATTGTACTCCTAGGTATATGCTCAAAAGAATTGAAAATAGATATTAAAACAGATACTTATATTAATATAATACATGAATGTTCATAGCAGCACTATTCATAATAGCCAAAAGGTGGAAACAACCAAAGTAGGTGAATGGATAAACAAATTGTGGCATATATATATACAATGAAATATTATTCAGCCTTAAAAAGAAATGAAATTCTGTTCTCATAGGTGCCCCATGTAAAACGAAAGAAAATAAAATAAAAAAGGAAATGAAATTCTGAAACAGTCTGCAATATGGATAGACCTTGAAAATATTATGCTAAATGAAATAAGCCAGACACAAAAGTACAAATATTATATTGTTTCACTTATATGAAATATCTAAAATAGGCAAATTCATAGAGAAAATACATTAGAATTTATGAGGGGCTGGGAGCAAGAAGAATGGGGATTTATTGCGTAGTGGGTACAACATTTCTGTTTGGAGTGATGAAAACTTTTAGAAATAGTTTTATACACATGGCACAAAATTATACAAAAGCCAAGACTCTTGATATATAGGCTGTTTGCTAAAATGCACCTATTTTCATTCTATCAGCAATATATACCCTTGATAGAATTTAGTATTTTTTAAAAATTTAATTAATTTAATAGATAAAAATATTTTTAATTTTCTTTTTCTCAATCAACAGTGCAGTGAACATGCATTTATTTAACCACTGCATTTTCATACATTTGTTAGAAATTTATGGGTTGGATTTATAAATTGTCTTCTACAACCTTTGCCCCTTTGTCTTTGGGACATATTTTAATGAATTGGAAAGTAGCATTTATATATTACAGAAATCAGTGCTTTGTCATGTTTTCTCAGTTTTTACCTTTCAGTTTTTATTATGGTATGTTTGACTTACAAATAGCTTTTGTTTATAGGTGACCAAATCAACCAGTGTTTTCCTTTTGAATTCTTCAGTATTTGCTCAGAAGTCACTTTATTTCTTTTTCCTAATTTGTCTATGGTCAATATTTTAAAATATAGCTTTTAAACCTATCTGGAATTAATCTTGATATATGTTGTGATATGTCTAATTTGATTTTTTTCAAGAGAATAATCAGATATCTTAACATTCTTCCCTTCTGCATAAATTTGTGACAAACTTTTTCCCATAATAGTTTCTTAAAAAGATCTGTTCTTAGGCCGGGCACAGTGACTCACGCCTACAATCCTAGCACTCTAGGAGGCCGAGGTGGGCAGATTGCTCGAGGTCAGGAGCTCGAAACCAGCCTGAGCAAGAGTGAGACCCCATCTCTACTATAAATAGAAAGAAATTAATTGGCCAACTAATATATAAAAGAAAAAAAATTAGCCGGGCATGGTGGCACATGCCTATAGTCCCAGCTACTCGGGAGGCGGAGGCAGCAGGATTGCTTGAGCCCAGGAGTTTGAGGTTGCTGGAAGCTAGGCTGACGCCACCCATGGCATTTACTCTAGCCTGGGCAACAAAGCGAGACTCTGTCTCAAAAAAAAAAAAAGAAAGATCTGTTCTTTATTTTTGTACCAACTCTACCATATTTTAACAGCTGTAGCTGCATATTAAGTTTAAATATATGATTTATTATTCTAACATTTATATCTTCAAAACCAACCTTAGAATAAATTTGTATGAAAAACTTACATTATCAAATTGATTGGAATTACATTATACTTTTAAATTAGTATGAGGAGAATCGATATATGTACTATAGTTAGCCTTTTTAGTCAAAAATTTGGCATGCCTCTCTAGTGTGTATATTATGTCTATGTATTATGTCTACTATTTGCTGTGGGTTTCACATAGACACTCTTTAGCATGTTAAGGAAGCATCCTTACATTCCAAATGCTCTTGAAAGAGTTTTTTGTTCTTTTATTTTTAATTTTTTATTTTTTTATTTTTTTTTGAGACAGAGTCTCACTTTGTTGCCCAGGCTAGAGTGAGTGCCATGGCGTCAGCCTAGCTCCCAGCAACCTCAAACTCCTGGGCTCAAGCAATCCTCCTGCCTCAGCCTCCCGAGTAGCTGGGACTACAGGCATGTGCCACCATGCCGCGCTAATTTTTTTATAATTTTTAGTTGTTCAATTAATTTATTTCTATTTATAGCAGAGATGGGGGTCTCGCTCTGCTCAGGCTGGCTCCGAACTCCTGAGCTCAAGTGATCCTCCCGCCTTGCCCCAGAGGCTAGGATTACAAGCGTGAGCCACCACACCCGGCCAAGTTTTCAATTTCTTGACAGTGTCTTTTTTATGTTTTCTACAGTTATGCATACTCAATTAGAAAACTTGGAAAGTATTAAAACGGTCCAAAAAATATAAAGAATCGGAAAAAGCATCCGTAATTTCAACTGAAAGTTAAATATAGTCTATATTTTAGCACACTTGTTTTCCATCACTTTTTATATTCATATTTCTATATTTTGAATGAATCTTATGTATAGTTTTGTCTCCTACTTTTTTTTTACTTAGCATATTGTAACTATTTTACTATGTCACTAAAAGCTCTATAAAGATTTCTGATAATAGCATCATATTCTACTGTATGAATATACCATAATTTATTTAACCATTTCCTAATGTTGCATAAATAATTTATTTACAATGTTTCCTATTAAAACAACACTGAAATTGACATGAATGTTTCCTATTAAAAAAACAACACTGAAATTGACATGGTGTGGTCTGGACTTCTCATATACTAGAGTGAGAAGCAGAATTACCAGATTAAAGGACTTGCAGGAATTCCTTGGCTAAAGCAACATCTCCTGCTCAAATGCAAATATCCCTGGGAAGGTGTTCTGTCTTACCCATTTTATGTTCACTAGCCACTGCCACCTTGATATACGCATCTTAGCATATATTTGGTTCAATAACAAGATAGCACCTGAGGAAGCACCACTAAGGGATAGAGACTCAGGTTGTGTTTATTAAAGATGAAGGTAGGGGAGGGAAGGTGAGAAAACAAGCAGAGTAAAGTCTGAGGTGAGGAATTGTCCAGGGTAGAGCCAGGGAATGCTGCATGGCACTGAGCACATGGGGAAGAAAAGGAGATAGGAAAATGTGAAGATATAACAAAAATAAACTTGATAATTTTACCATTTTGTCCCAGGCTGTTCCTAGTCCCTGGTTATACTCTGTAAATGCTTACTGCTAGAGATGCAGACTCTTTGACTAGGTAAGTAAGGCAGCTTCACCAGTGAAGTCAGCATTAGGTTTCCCAGGTAATGTGAATGTGATTGCTGAATATCATCTAAAATTTAAGTGACAGTCTAAAAAACAGCTTGATAGTTTCTATGCCTGCAAAAACTATAAACAAAATGCTAAGAAGTTTATAATTAATTTTTTGCCTACTTACACCATTCAAAAGGGACTTGCATTCTGGAGTTAAGAACAGAAAATTCTCCTTGGAACAATTAGTTTGCACAATTGAGTAGGTAACTTTAAAGTTGGATCCAGCCACCACCTGCAATGATTTGGGATTGAGTATTTAAAGGGCAGTTTAAACATTCTTCACAGTGATATATAAATGCTATGAGGAGTTTAGAACACTGCAGGGCATGTAAGTGCCCAAGATATATAAACTATTATTATTAGTAGGCAAAAATATTACTGAATAAATACTGCACACCTTGAGACTCTCACACAACACACACACTCACACACCCCTTCATCTATCTGAAAATAAAAACAATATATAGATGAAGTTACTGTATTCCTGAAGACCTAATAATATTTCCTCTGTCAGGCTGCAGAGAGAAAGCATTTTGCTGAATTTCATAATAATAATGCTCTTCTAGATGGATAAAGAAACTTTGGAGAGGAGTGGCCTTTGCTGGTGGGTCCTCAGGTCCAGATAACCAGGTGGTATGATTTCTCCTGCTTTATTCTGGGTTGGTTCTACCCCAATTGCTGTATGTGGACACAATTGTGTAAAACATGCATCTTACTCATATGAAGGCAAGTTGTAAAGTCTATTAAATGCAGGGAATGTTACTGACAAAGTGAATCATCATAATCTGAGGCTGAAACAAGGGACCCATCAACTATCAGAAAGCTTGTCAAATGAATCAATAAAAAGACCAGATTTATAGGTATTTACTTTTTTTGCCCTGATGATATGGAAACTACAACTTAGGGGAATACCCAGAAAGCCATGCCAACTATTCTAGACTCAAGTGTCTTGGAGCTCTGTTAAACTCATGAGAGCTAGGTGATGATATAGTTTTCTCAAACCTATAGGCCAGTATGACTTTTATTTTAGCATCTCTGGAAGAACATATAATGATGACACTCATTTGTTAAAAACAACTTAAAGCAAAGGGGTCTGATAGCCACCTTCCACTTTTACATATGCGACTATCGTACTCACTGCAAAAAGAAAACTTTGCAGCCTGCCTGTCACGTGAACACCACAAAAGAACCCACCATCCACCATGCGATCATTACATTTTCCTTGGCCGATGGCTTCTGTTAGTAATGAAACCTAAACGTAAAGATCTAATATTTTAACAATGCTGCGTGACATGAAACTTAAAGAACAAACCTGCGTTTCGGCCATTCTTACTTCACAAGATGTAAAGAGGTAGAACGATCAGTGTTGTATAAATGTTGAATGCCATGTCTTAGGACGGGCTCCAGGACTGGTTGTCCGTGATATGGGATATACACAACCAAAGCAGTTATCGGGACTCCCAACTGAAGGCTCGGCTTAAGAAAGAGCAGAAAAAAAGGCACATTAATGATCAAAATCAGCATTGAGAACATTGCCCAAGCAAAGATTTAGAAGCCCTGATAAACTTTCTAAATCCTAGTAGGCATAGAAAAAAAGAGTACACAAAACTGTTTTTAGTCAGAGAGAAAAAAACCTATCATTCACTCAGGAATATTTTATATTCATAGTACCTACATAATTATTAAATTTATTTTAAGTAATTTAAATTATAGAATAATATATGAATTCATCCTTTCATAAAAATTAAAACATTTTAGATGTTTATATTTATTTCAAGCTAATGAGAATCCTAGGCCAGGTGCGGTGCCCAAGCCTGCAATCCCAGCACTTTGGGAGGCGAAGTGAAAGATTGCTTGAGCCAGGAGTTGAGACCAGCCTGGGCACATAGTGAAACCCCATCTCCACAAAAAATAAAAAAAAAGATTAAAAACATTAGCCGAGGCATGGTGGCATGTAGCTACACGAGAAGTTAAGGCAGGAGGATCACTGAAGCCCAGGAATTTGATGCTGCTGTAAATTATGATCAGGCCACTGCATCCAGCTTGAGTGACAGAGTGAGATCTGTCCACGTCTTCCTAATGAACAGACTCCATGAAGGCCAACTTGGGATTCATGTATTTTTGTTGATTCATCTAAAAATATATATATTTTGCTTCTACTGTTAATATGCCGGGCACTGAGCAAGACTACATGGATGCTTTAAATGTTAGTGATGGTCACTGTCTGAAGGAGTGACTGTCCATGGGAGAGAGAGAACTGTAGATGGATCATTCAATCATGATTCAGCAAGAATTAGAAAGCAGGAGCCAGAGTTGAGGTCCGGGCAAACTTTCTAAGGAAAGCTGAGATGTCTGAGTGAAGAAGGTGAAGACTGTTAGCCCAGCAACAGGAGGTTTAGGCGTGGGAGAAGGGTGGAGGGCTCCTGAGAAAGCAGGATGAGTGAAGCCCAGTGGTGTGGGATGTGGCGGGACACAGGGAGGGGAATTGAGTGTGAACAATCGGTAGACAGAACTCGTGCTGTTGGGCACCTCACTCTCTAGGCCCACGGTTACTAACTGTATTCAAAGGGTCATGGCTCCTTGGTGAATCTGATGACTATGGCCCTCCTCAGGAATTTACACACCATAACATTCTTCACGTAATCTCAGGGTATCATAGACCCTCTGAAGTGAATAAAATAGTCTGGTGAAGAAGGGGAACACTGAAGATTTCAATAAGCCAATGTGAAATATTTAAAAAGGAGTTTGTATTAATATTAAATTCAAGGTAATGTTCATCAATGCTAGCCTAACCTACTGGACAATAGAGGCAAATGCCATAAAAAGGAAAGTCACCAGAGAGTGAAGTGCACCTGGAGGAGCCCACCTGGAGCTGGGCTATGAGCAGTGTCACTATGAGCCACCTGGCTTCTTCTCCTAGTGAGCTCTCGCGCTGCCTCTGTAGTGCCAACGACAATCAGGAGGCCACCAGTGTTGGACAGGCTGTGGCTCTGTTCTTCACAAGTCAACAAAACTGCAACCATTTTCTGATTTCTTCTCCATAAATACGCATGTCAGGAAAACATATATTGATGACTATGCCTAGCTTTTCCCTTTCCTCTCTTTCCAGAAGTTATGTTGAAGAGCATCATGGGCGGAGTTAAAACTGGAGGGGAATTCCATGTGGAATGGAGATTACTGATGATGACTGAACAGGAAGGATGGGTACAGAGGTAAAGGGAGATGGGGAAAGGACAGAGGCTGTTTTGCCTATCTCAAGGCCAGCTTTTATTCAGAAAGATTGACTAGGGTAAAAAAGAGAAGGCCAGCTTTTTGAAGGTGAAAGGAGTCAAGAAAGATGTACCCTCGATTTTCTGATGACAATGATTTTTCAGCCAACCCTGACCTTTTGTACAGAGATGTCTTTAAAATAAAATAAAGATTTTTAATTACTGTGATTTCTTTTCCATTTGGAACTGTTTTTCTTTGAACACAACTTCTTACAAGAACCAGAACCCAGGATATAATTTTTGTGGGTTCCATGTGGATGACTGAGGTTGGTATACAGAACAGTTCCCACCAATGGTGATGTACAATAGTGAAGCTGAAGATGCTGTCCCACAGCCCTCATATGCTAAAGCTCCACTTTGCAGAAGGCAACTCCAGGAAAGCTTTTGTCGGTCACATCACCTAGATGTGTCCATTTCTCTGTACTTGGCATCTCTGGCACATTAGGGAAGAAGCTAATAGAGGCTTTATCTGTTGATAAGTTGCTCCATAATTATATTCTTAAGAATTTAATTATTTAGGTCTATTCTACCAACTCTATCAGCTGTGGCATTTTGAGCAAGGTACTTAACTGCTGTGGGCTTCAGTTTCCTTGCTATAAAATGGGATATTAAACTACCCCTCATCGAATTGTGAAAGCTACAAATGCTGATGAAATAAATTGAAGAGGACACAAATCAAAATGGAAATGGAAAGGCATCCCATGTTCATGGATTGGAAGAATCAATATCACTAAAATGACTGCCCAAAGAAATATACAGATTCAATGTAATCCCCATCAAAATATAATATCATTTTCCACAGAAATAGACAAAAAATCCAAAAGTTTACATGGCATCCCCCCCCCAATAAGAGCCAGAATAGCCAAAGAAATGCTGAACAAAAAGAACAAAGCTGGAGGCAGCACACTACCTGACTTCAATATATTACAGGGTTATAGTAATAGAATAGCATGGTATTGGTGTAAGAATAGACACATAGACCAATGGAACAGAATAGGGCACCCAAAAATAATTCACATATTTACAACCAACTGATTTTCAGCAAAAGGGCAAGAACGTATTCTGGGAGAGGACATCATCTTTAATAAATGGTGCTATGAAAATTGGATATGCATATGCAAATGAATGAAATGAACTCCTGTCTCTTACCATAAACACAAATCAATCAAGAGGGATTAAAGACTATAAGATCCAAACTATAAAACTACTAGAAGAAAACTTAGGGAAACACTCAGGACATTGGTTGTAGACAACGATTTATGGCTAGGACCTTAAAAGTACAGACAACTAAAACAAAATAGATAAATAGAGCTATATAAACTAAAAAGCTTCTACACAGCCAAGAAAATAACACATGAAGAGACGACCAATTTCATGAGAGTAAATATTTGCAAACTATTCATCTGATGAGGGACCAATATCCAGATTATACAAGGAACTGAAACAATCAACATATAAAAATGCAAATAATCCCATTAAACAATGGACAAAGGATCTCAGTAGACATTTCTCAAAAGAAAACATACAAATGAACAAAGGTGTATGAAAAATGTTCCCCTCACTAAGCATCAGGGAAATGTAACAAAAATCACATAGATATCATCTTACTCCAGTTAGAATGGCTATTATTAAAAAGAATATGACAGGCTGGTGAGGATGTGGAGAAAAGGAAACACTTATGTGCCATTGGTGAGAATATAAATTAGTAAAACCAGTATGGAAAACAGTATAGAGAGTTCTCAGAAAACTAAAACTAGAACTACCTACAACCCAGTAATCCCACTACTAGGTAAGAAATCTATCAAAGGGATACATGCACTCATATGTTTATCATATAGCATTATTCACAATAGCAAAGATATGGAATCAACCTAATTTCCTAGAGATGGAAGAATAGATAAAAAAAAAAGTGATATGCATACACAATGGGATACTATTCAATCATAAAAAGATGAAACTATGTCATTTGTAGCAAGATAGATGGAACTGGAGGTCATATTACATTACTAAAATAACCCAGGCAAAGAAAAAAAAGTTTGTATTTTCATTCATATGCATGGAGTTAAAAAACTTAATCACATGAAGATGAATAGAGTGATAGATCCCAGAGTGCAGGAGAGGGAAATGAAGAGAGGTTGGTGAAGGAGTGCAAACTTACAGTTAAATAGAAGAAGTAAGTTCTCATGTTCAATAGCAGGCTAGGGTGACTTTAGTTAGCAACAATATAATTTATCTTGCAAAGTATCTAGAAGAGAGAACTTGAAATGTTTTCAACACATAGAAATGATGATGGATATCTCAAATACCCTGACTTGATCATTACACCTTCTATATAAGTACCCCATCAATATTTAAAATATTGTGTATCAATAAAAGAAAAAAAAGTTAGTATATGTAAAGTACTTAGACCCATGGCTGGGACATAAGCAATCAATAAATGCTAGCTATTATTAATATTTTTATCCTGATTGCCATTAATGCGTTGTTATCACTGCTAGGCATCATTGCTTTAGGTGTATCATTTCATTTCAGTCTCACAACAATCCTGTTAAGTGGGAAGTACTGTTATCTCCATATTTGAGACAAGGAAAAGGAAAGCCAAGAAGGTGAGGAGCTCTGAACGACTCCAGGCCAGGTCTGACCTCAAAGCCTGTCCTTTTCTCTCTCTAGGATGCTGCCTACAGTTGAAGGCAGGTGTGTGTCTCCACATCCTTTTGCAGAGCCCTGGAGGCACATGAGGAAGAGTTGGATAGTCCCGAGGGAGAGATTGTCACAAGCCTGGCACAAGGTCAGGCCCCTGCCTCCCCCAGACCCTAAGAATGGCATTAGGAGCCTCTGGGAGAGGGCAGCAGCCTGGGCCAGGTTGTGTTCTTGGCACACAGAAGTTGTTAATTCCTCCCCAGGGCAGTGCCACCCCTGTATCAGCTACCTGGAGTAATCTGGCAGATCTGGGTAGCCACGGAAAATTTTCCATTTCCCCTCTTCCCTACAGTCGCTGTGCATTCTCCTGTGGCCTAAAAAGAAAAGAAAAAGACCATTTATCCTAATCTTTCAGATGGAAGAGTCCACCTAGTACTGTTGCTAAACATGACTTTCCTTTGAAAAGTAACAAAACTTGTGAAGATTCTATTGAAAAGAGATTTCAGACATGAGAATGAATGTTTTTGTAGCCTAATGATTATTTTTTATAAGCCACTGATATCTGTGAGACATCAGAGGAATGCTAGTATTAATGGTGGTTTATAAGCTTGAGTCTTTGATTCAAGCCCTGAAGATACTTCTTTTTCCCCACGATGTACGCAGTGCCTCAGAATCAGCCCGCTCTACGCTCCTCTTGATGTACTCTCAATTTCAGTGGATCAATACTATTCACATAAACTCAGTTTAACTTGTTAGAAAGAGCAAGGATCTTGGTGTGAAAGTGTCTTCGAGTTCCAGCTCTGCCACTTGCTAGCTGCTACCTCTATCACGTCCCTTTGCATCTCAGAGTCTCAGTTTACCTATCGTACAGGAGGCATGCCACATCTATCTCATACGGCTGTTGTGAAGAGTAATGTGCAAACATACATAAATCGCTTAATAGAGGCTCACCGCATGGTAGGCACTTAATAGGCAGCTGTTTAACTACAGTGTTTTTTTAAAATTATACTTCCTGAAGTAGGATTCTATTTTCAAAATATGGGCTTTATGAAGAGGCAAAAATGTCCTTCGTAATTAAAAATGTGGAGGAGGAAGGGAGGAAGAGAGAGGAAGAAGGAGGGAGAGGGGGGAGGGGAGGAGGGGAGGAAGGGAGGGAGGGGAGGGAGGAAGGGAGAAGAGAGAGAAGAAAAGAAGAAAAAAAAACGAAAAAGAAAGAAAAGAAAAGTTGGGCCTCCTCATGATGATTTCAAAGCTTCCTTCCAGTTCCAGCATTCTGTGGATGGTGACAGCACCATTCTGCAGAGTAGGAGGCCCAAGATCAAAATGCCAACAGATTCAGTTCTTGGTGAGGGCCCTCTGCCTGGCTTTCAGACAACTACCTTCTTACCATATCCTCACGTGATGGAGAGAGGTGTTTCTTTGTTTTGTTTGGTCTTGTCATTCTTTGGCCTTATCTACTAGACATCTCCTAAGTGACAGACACTATTCTATCAGGATACAGCACATTTCTCTTCATCCCCACGGCCTACAGAGGCAGGCAGTATGGGGCACAGCAGCTAATCATCCCCACCTTACAGATGAGACCACTGAGAAGCAGAACCAGCACTTAACAGTCCTGGTCTCCTGACTCGGAGTCCAGTGCTCTTTAGCAAGTGCAGACGACTAGGGCTCATCTTTTACAAGAGAGGCTTGCTTCTGAGGCAGATACCATTTGCAATCTTCCTAAATTAAGGCAAAACAACCAGCTGTGGTATGCCAAGGATGTATGTTAGGAGTTTGGTTAAAATAGCCATTGTTAAATTAATTTACATTATTTTCCTCATTTCATTCTCTAATCTCCCTTCTATAGGGGACAGCCCCAGTTAAGAGGTCAAGCATCATGCCCACCATCACACAGGTCATTGGAGGCAGGGTGAAGATTTGCACTCAGGCCTGTGCAACTGAAGCACCCACCCTCTCCCCTCACCAGCCCTTCAGCCTGGCCCAGGTGTTGCTCTCTTGTCTCTATGGGACCTGGCCCACGCTTCCCAGTTGTCACTGGAGCCCTCTTCTCACGGGAGGGCTTTCTCCACATTTAACTGCTGGCTTCTCCATCATTTTTCTGTCTACACAAGAACATGGCTATGAAGCATCTGACTTTTCTACTCATTTCAGAGTTTGTGGGCATCCCTCATAAACAGGATCACTAATATTAGTCATCCCTGCACATGCCAAAGGGTAGGGCAGCCTTGACAGAGAAAACTGGAGGCTCGAAAACTGTTAACACACTTACAGCTTTTGCAGCGTCTTTGTAGTCACAATCCTGCCAGGTTTTGCCGCTTTGAACAGGACAATCACCCTCCTTGATTTGGTACTTAAAGGAATAAAATATGTCTGGGTTAACCTGAAAAAAGCAACCGGAGATATTACCAACAGCAAATAATTTGAGTAGGTTCTGGTACAGTTATGGGTGCTGATATCGATTTGATTTAATCAGAACAAAGCACTCATTAGAAATATAGTTACATTTTTATAAGTATTATAAACATTTACTTTAAAGAATGTTCATAATTACTTACAATGTGTTTTTTAAAAGTTACAAAGCAGTATCAATAGTATTAGCTTATTTGTATAAAAACTGATTTATATGTACATGTCTTGGAAAAGTCAGAAAAGTTATGCAGCAAGCTGTTAAAATGGCTCTCAGTGGTGGGATTATAATAATCTTGTCCTTTCTTCCTTAAATAAATGTTTCTAAATGGTCTCACTTTTTCCCCCTAATGAACATAGTATTATTTTTATAACTAGAAAAAGCAAAGAGGAGAATTTTATTTTTAAAAACCCCAAAACCAAAAAATGCTAACAGTTACCTCTGTATGGTGGAATTCATTATGGGTAATTTTAGTATTTTTATTTGCTTTGTTTCCTTTCCTAATTTTTATTTCTTTTCTCTGTTTTAAACAGTTTTCTTGAGATATAATTCACATGCCATACAATTCACCCACTTAAAGGGTACAGTTCAATGTTTTTTAGTATATTTACAACCATGCCCACAATATATTTTGATTATTTTATTACCCCACAAAGAAACCCTGTGCCCACTACCAGTTTGTACCCATTCTTCCTTGCATTCAGCCCCTGGCAACCAGCAATCTACTTTCTCTCTGTATTTGCCTAGGCATTTCATATCACTGGGTTTATACCTGTGGTCTCTGTGTCTAGCTTCTTTCCCTTTGCATGAAGTTTTCAAGGTTTAGCCATGTTGTAAGATGCATCAGTACTTTATTTCTTTTTATGGCTGATCTAATTTTTCTAAGATGTCATACTATCATAGTTAGATGGTCTGAAAGCCCACCTCAACGATGCACAATCCTGGCATGTCAGAGCCAGAGGGACCTGGGAGGTGATGCTGTCCAGCCCCGTCCTTTGCAGCTGCGAGCAGGGAGGCCTGAGAGGGCAGGGCATGGCTTAGGCAGCCTCACGATCTCAGGGAGGCAGAGCCAGCCCCAGATCCCTGGTCCCCTGATGCCCAGGGCAGTGCGCTCTCAGAGCCTGCGTGGGTCGCAGTATTTGTATCTGGGAGATGATGGAGTCAAAGAGCTTCCCACAGCCCTCATATGCTAAAGCTCCACTTTGCAGAAGGCAACTCCAGGAAAGCTTGTCGGTCACATCACCTAGATGTGTCCATTTCTCTGTACTTGGCATCTCTGGCACATTAGGGAAGAAGCTAATAGAGGTTTTATCTGTTGATAAGTTGCTCCATAATTATATTCTTAAGAATTTAATTATTTAGGTCTATTCTACCAACTCTATCAGCTGTGGATTTTGAGCAAGGTACTTAACTGCTGTGGCTTCAGTTTCCTTGCTATAAAAGGGGATATTAAACTACCCCTCATCGAATTGTGAAAGCTACAAATGCTGATGAATAAATTGAAGAGGACACAAATCAAAATGGAAATGGAAAGGCATCCCATGTTCATGGATTGGAAGAATCAATATCACTAAAATGACTTTACTGCCCAAAGATATATACAGATTCAATGTAATCCCCATCAAAATATAATATCATTTCCACAGAAATAAAAAAATCCAAAAGTTTACATGGCATCCCCCCCCAGTAAGACCAGAATAGCCAAAGAAATGCTGAACAAAAAGAACAAAGCTGGAGCAGCACACTACCTGACTTCAATATATTACAGGGTTATAGTAATAGAATAGCATGGTATTGGTGTAAGAATAGACACATAGACCAATGGAACAGAATAGGGCACCCAAAAATAAATTCACATATTTACAACCAACTGATTTTCAGCAAAAGGGGCCAAGAACGTATTCTGGGGAGAGGACATCATCTTTAATAAATGGTGCTATGAAAATTGGATAGGCATATGCAAAGGAATGAAATGCACCTCCTGTCTCTTACCATAACACAAATCAATCAAGAGGGATTAAAGACTAAGATCCAAAACTATAAAACTACTAGAAGAAAACTTAGGGAAACACTCAGGACATTGGTTGTAGACAACGATTTTATGGCTAGGACCTTAAAAGTACAGACAACTAAAACAAAATAGATAAATAGAGCTATATAAACTAAAAAGCTTCTACACAGAAAAAATAACACATGAAGAGATGACCAATTTCATGAGAGTAAATATCTGCAAACTATTCATCTGATGAGGGACCAATGTCCAAATATACAAGGAACTGAAACAATCAACATATAAAAATGCAAATAATCCCATTAAACAATGAATAAAGGATCTAAGTAGACATTTCAAAAGAAAACATACAAATGAACAAAGGTGTATGAATGTTCCCTCACTAAGCATCAGGGAAAGTAACAAAAATCACAATGAGATACATCTTACTCCAGTTAGAATGGCTATTATTAAAAAGAATATGACGAGGCTGGTGAGGATGTGGAGAAAAGGAAACACTTATGTGCCATTGGTAGAATATAAATAGTAAACCAGTATGGAAAACAGTATAGAGAGTTCTCAGAAAACTAAAACTAGAACTACCTACAACCAGTAATCCCACTACTAGGTAAGAATTATCAAAGGGATACATGCACTCATATGTTTATCATATAGCATTATTCACAATAGCAAAGATAGGAATCAACCTAATTTCCAGAGATGGAAGAATAGATAAAAAAAAAAGTGATATGCATACACAATGGGATACTATTCAATAATAAAAGATGAAACTATGTCATTTGTAGCAAGATAGATGGAACTGGAGGTCATATTACATTACATAAAATAACCCAGGCAAAGAAAAAAAAGTTTGTATTTTCATTCATATGCATGGAGTTAAAAAACTTAACACATGAAGATGAATAGAGTGATAGATCCCAGAGTGCAGGAGAGGAAATGAAGAGAGGTTGGTGAAGGAGTCAAACTTACAGTTAAATAGAAGAAGTAAGTTCTCATGTCAATAGCAGGCTAGGGTGACTTTAGTTAGCAACAATATAATTATCTTGCAAAGTATCTAGAAGAGAGAACTTGAAATGTTTCAACACATAAAATGATGATGGATATCTCAAATACCCTGACTTGATCATTACACCTTCTATATATGTACCCCATCAATATTTAAAATATTGTGTATCAATAAAAGAAAAAAAAGTTAGTATATGTAAAGTACTTAGACCCATGGCTGGGACATAAGCAATCAATAAATGCTAGCTATTATTAATATTTTTATCCTGATTGCCATTAATGCATTGTATCACTGCTAGGCATCATTGCTTTAGGTGTATCATTTCATTTCAGTCTCACAACAATCCTGTTAAGTGGGAAGTACTGTTATCTCCATATTTGAGACAAGGAAAAGGAAAGCCAAGAAGGTGAAGGAGCTCTGAACGACTCCAGGCCAGGTCTGACCTCAAAGCCTGTCCTTTTCTCTCTCTAGGATGCTGCCTACAGTTGAAGGCAGGTGTGTGTCTCCACATCCTTTTGCAGAGCCTGGAGGCACATGAGGAAGAGTTGGATAGTCCGAGGAGAGATTGTCACAAGCCTGGCACAAGGTCAGGCCCCTGCCTCCCCCACCTAAGAATGGCATTAGGAGCCTCTGGGAGAGGCAGCAGCCTGGGCCAGGTTGTGTTCTTGGCACACAGAAGTTGTTAATTCCTCCCCAGGGCAGTGCCACCCCTGTATCAGCTACCTGGAGTAATCTGGCAGATCTGGGTAGCCACGAAAAATTTTCCATTTCTTCTCTTCCCTACAGTCGCTGTGCATTTTCCTGTGGCCTAAAAAGAAAAGAAACAGACCATTTATCCTAATCTTTCAGATGGAAGAGTCCACCTAGTACTGTTGCTAAACATGACTTTCCTTTGAAAAGTAACAAAACTTGTGAAGATTCTATTGAAAAGAGATTTCAGACATGAGAATGAATTTGTTTGTAGCCTGATGATTATTTTTTATAAGCCACTGATATCTGTGAGACATCAGAGGAATGCTAGTATTAATGGTGGTTTATAAGCTTGAGTCTTTGATTCAAGCCCTGAAGATACTTCTTTTTCCCCACGATGTACGCAGTGCCTCAGAATCAGCCCGCTCTACGCTCCTCTTGATGTACTCTCAATTTCAGTGGATCAATACTATTCACATAAACTCAGTTTAACTTGTTAGAAAGAGCAAGGATCTTGGTGTGAAAGTGTCTTCGAGTTCCAGCTCTGCACTTGCTGCTACCTCTATCACGTCCCTTTGCATCTCAGAGTCTCAGTTTACCTATCCTACAGAGGCATGCCACATCTATCTCATACGGCTGTTGTGAAGAGTAATGTGCAAACATACATAAATCGCTTAATAGAGGCTCACCGCATGGTAGGCACTTAATAGGCAGCTGTTTAACTACAGTGTTTTTTTAAAATTATACTTCCTGAAGTAGGATTTCTATTTTCAAAATATGGGCTTTATGAAGAGCAAAAATGTCCTTCGTATTAAAAATGTGGAGGAGAAGGGAGGAAGAGAGAGGAAGAAGGAGGGAAGGGGGGAGGGGAGGAGGGGAGGAAGGGAGGGAGGGGAGGGAGGAAGGGAGAAGAGAGAGAAGAAAAGAAGAAAAAAAAACGCGATCATACATTTTCCTTTGGCCGATGGCTTCTGTTAGGTAATGAAACCCTAAACGTAAAGATCTAATATTTTTAACAATGCTGCGTGACATGAAAACTTAAAGAACAAACCTGCGTTTCGGCCCATCTTACTTCACCAAGAGTAAAGAGGTAGGAACGATCAGTGTTGTTATTAAAATGTTGAATGCCATGTCTTAGGACGGGCTCCAGGACTGGGTGGTCCGTTGATATGGGATATACACAACCAAAGCAGTTATCGGGGACTCCCAACTGAAGGCCCTCGGCTTAAGAAAGAGCAGAAAAAAAGGCAACATTAATGATCAAAATCAGCATTGAGATACATTGCCCCAAGCAAAGATAATTTAGAAAGGCCCTGATAAACTTTC